AGCCACACTCCACCAGCAGGCTGTAGGTTATGTCTATACCCTCATCTCGGAGTGGGGTGAGGAGCTCAGGTTTGAGGGTGAAGGGGATGTGCCAGGGGTATTTGAAATTTGGCTCCAGGATGCTCTTCACCTAGATGACACATTGTGAGATGTACAGGTCAGTCTTTGAAATCAGGAAAAAAACAAGAACTAAGGGTCATGTAGGGCAGCTTGATGTCAAGAGAACTAGGAGTCTTGGTTATGTCTTATGATCAATGTGATGTTGAACAAGCAGTTCAAACCCACCAGCTGCTCCTATTTAGGAAACCCTAAATAGGGTCACTATGAGTCAGAACTGACTCGACAGCACTTAACAACAACAACAAAAACAATAATATGTGTTTAGGAGTCCTGGCGTGCCATTGTAGGAGAAATACTGGACTGCTAACAACAAGGTTGGTGGTTCAAACCCACCAGCTGCTCCTTGAAAACTCTATTCAGGGTTGCTATGAGTCGAAACTGACTTGATGGCACGTAACAACAAAAAATATGTATTTAAGTATCCCTGATAGCATAGGGGATTATGAGCTGGGCTGCAAGGTCAGCAGTTTGAATCTACCATTCACTCCATGGGAGAAAGATGAGACTTTCTGCTCCTGTAATGATTTACAGACTCAGAAATAATAGACAGGGTTGCTATGAGTCAGAACTGACTCAGTTACACACAACCACCACCACCAATAAGTATTTATATATTTAAATGGAGAGAGAGTGAGACATTTGCGAGTGGTATAGTGGAGTTCTGGTGTGGCGCTGTGGGCTAATGGGTCAGACTGCAAAGCTGTTTGAACTGCATGGTCAGTGGTTCAAGCTCACCAGCTGCTCCTTGGAAACCCTATACAGGGTTGCTATGGGTCGTAACTGACTCGACGGCACTTGACAACAACAACAACAATTGTGAACTAAAAGCAGGGGTATTACTCAGCTTCCCTCAGTTTCCAAGGACCCGTATTCATATAGCTAATAAAGAACTATTTAGGCCCATTGCAGGAGTAGCCATGGAAACC